TATATATATATATATATATATATATATACATACTGTATTAAAACATTGTCATATTTTTATTAGTTGTATCATTATCTTTGTAGAAGGAAAACATTCTGCAAAGAACAACTGGTGAATCCTACATAAGAGAGAAAAAATCCACACATGGCATCTCCCTGTGTCTGTATCTCAAATATTTCTGATCAGATTGTGTCTTGAGCAGTAAACGCTTGTGTTTGTGATTCTGATGAAAGAGCGACACACAGAAAACAAGCATGCTGGGAAACGCTCCTCAGAGAGCCACTAACACGTCTGCAGCCGGTCTGAAAACTCTTGGTAAAAGTCAAATAATGCTCACAACTTTTGGCCTGTAATGTTGAACAAAAGCAGATTTGGCTTTCATAACATTTCTGCTTTGCAACAGAAAATACATTTTAAAGCTATTTTTGATTTGGAAGACATATTTGAATATCCTTTTATCCTAAAAGAATAATAATAATAATAATATAAATAATAATTTGCATCAAAAATATTTTTGTTTTTGTAATTCTCAATACTAATTTGATTTCCATTACTGTAATACCATCATTTGCACTGTAAAAGTATTTTAAATGTAATTTGGCATAAATTAAAGGCAGCACAGCAAATACAACAAAGAGCATTACATTTACAGTTTAAATATAAAACATCATTATTTTTGACATTATGGTAATGCTAATGAGATTTATTTTCTAGTGATGCTAAAACTTCATCTTTTCATGTTTTACCCTATTTTGCATTTTAAAAAGTCTGTTTTTTGTAATTCTCAATACTCATTAGACCATCCTTTATACAGTAAAATTTGTAAAAAAAAAAAAAAAAAAAATACAATGATTTTTTTGTAATTTACCATAAATTAAAGGCATGACATTTACATTTTAAATACAACTTAAATACTATACATCACTATTTTTTCACATTATGGTAAAGAGATTTTCTTTTCTTTTTTTTTTAATGAGGGTAACATGCTTTATTTTTAAGAAAATAATCCTAACTATGCTAAGGTACTATTTTACCCTAAAATAATAATAAAAAATAATATTTTGTATCAAGAAAATGAATCTTTTTTTTATTTTTAATACTGTAATACCATAATTTATAGTGCAAAATTATTTAAAATGAAATTCTTTAAAAAAAATGTAATTTAGCATACAGGCAGTACAACAATAAAAAAAAAAAAAAATACAGCTTAAATAATATATCATTATTTTTATATCAATATTTATATTATTTATATCATTATTAATTAGTTTTTATTAAATTAGGGCAACGTGCTTAATTTTTAAGTAAAAAAATCTTTAGGCTTCATGCAAAATCTTGTTTCTTATTTATTTCTTCTGATTTGAAGGTGAAAAATTCAAGACGTGTTCTTTAAAACTTTTTGTGAGTTTCACACATGCATTAATTATTGCAAAATAGCACTTGTTGATTGCGAACAAGCTCTCATTGTCCGCAGCTGTGAGGACGGACAGCAGTAAAGCAAAGAAATATAGTCCACATTGATAGACTGAGGCACAGATATTTTCCGGGCCGTCTCTCAATGGCCGGTGCTGAAAAAAGATATCAGTATTTACTGCCGCCGGGCTGTGTTTGGTGTGCAAGTTAAACTTTGGCCGGGAGTCATTGTCTCCGATGTCTATCATTTAATAGGAGCTTTGACATAATGAATGAGGGGTTCCACCTTCCGTCCCACAGAAAGAGCCAGTCTTATCAGAGCCAATCACAGCGCGCCGCATTGTCTTCTTTGTGCTTTTTAATGAAGTTAACTCTCACACGAGAGGGAGAAACTCTTCCGAGCGCTCCAGACTGGAGGATGATGTTTTAAAACGGACGAGGAACCTGAACGACATGGCTGGCTTTCCTCATCCGGGATTCGGGAATTCTGGGAAGTGTTTTCTGATAGAGAACCTGCTGCGTTCGCCTGCGCCAGGTGTTCGTCCCGAGAGATGCTTCCCGGCTCAGCTGGGGCTGATGCTGAAGGACAGGTGTGTTTCTCAGGACGGGGAACGAGGTAAAACCACCAGACGCTGACACGACTACAGATGCATCTCACCTGCTGCTGTTTATGAATATTTTATATATTTTTTTAATTTTTATATTTTCTGATTTAATTTGAATTTTATTTAGGTTTTAGTATTTTTGTCATTTTATATGTTTATTTTTTATTCATTTTTTTATTTCAGTTTTAGTTTGTTATTTTAATATATCAAGTTCAGTTAAATGAAATGTTGCCTTGGCAGCTAGCTGAAAGAAGTTGAACTTTTTAAAATATGTTATTTCAAGTAACAGAAATGTTGTTTTAGTTTATTATAGTTTTTATGAATATTTTATATTAGTGCTGTCAAACGATTAATCGCGATTAGCACACACACATATATTATGTAAAGAAAAACTTTTATTTTGGATGCGATTAATCGTTTGACAGCACTATTTTAAATATATTTTTTATTTTTATATTTTCTGATTTAATCTTAATTTTATTTAGTTTTTAGTATTTTTGTTGTGTTTTGTCATTTTATTTCTTTTCGTAATATTTCTTTTTTTTTTAAATTAATTTTTGATTTCAGTTTAAGATTGTTATTTTAGTACATCAAGTTCAATTAAATGAAATTGAGAAATTTTGCCTTGGCAGCTAGCTGAAATAAAATAAGTTTCACTTTTTAAAAAATATTTTATTTCAAGTAATGAAAATGTATGTATGCTTTTAGCTTTAGTTAACTATGGTAATAAAGTTGAACATTCTCATAACATCATCAAAAGAAATTAAATTAATTTTGAATTAAATTAAAAGCTTTGATCAGTTCAGATTCTCAATATCTTTGTGAAAATATTTCTACATTTACAAACAGTACTGAAAGTTAAAAAAGTCAAATTTTTCACTGTACATCAGCATCAACATTTTAAAGTAATATATTGGAAAGAGGATTTATTTGTTTGTTTGTTTATTCATTAATTAATAAAAAATATGTTAAATTATTTATATTAATATAATAATAATATTTAATAAATTAATTATAAATTATTACGACATTAATCATAAATATGCTGCCTTGTTGTTTAGCTGCTTTTCAGAATCTAATCACATAAATACAGTACATTTTGCACACTATCACTATAACATTTAGACATGTATAATAATTATTTATTGACTATTTTCACGTGATAGAATAATACTATGAACTGCTCATGTCTATTTTTAACATGATGTTTGAGCTGCAGATTCATGTGATATAATGTGATTTAGCATGTGTCATCACAAACACACTGAGCAATGAATGACAGGAATGGTGGATAATGTGAGAGGAATGCTTACAGAAGGGCTGATACAGCAGCAGAGAGGATGCAGTCAGCAGAGAGACGCCACACTAATGCCTGAACCACACAACACATTACATCCCACCCACACACACACACACACACACACACACACTCTCACTCACTCGCACTCACACTCACACTCACACACACACACAGGTTGGATGAATTTGGTGCTATAAGACGCTCATTCAGTCGCCCAGATGAGCAGCAGTCATTCAGATTAGTCAAAAAATGCCTTCAAATTCTATTTAAATCTAAAGATATTTCTATTTAGTCACAGAGCGAGTACATAGCAACACCCTAGCAACCACCAGGTAACAACTCAAAGCATCCTAGCAACCACATAACGACATTCTAAAATGCAGAGTCTGACAATTCTAGTGAAAATGTTTCTATTTTGCATTGTTTAATAATAATAATAATGTAATTTAATAAAGTTATAAATTATATGATCAGAATAACATTTTGGAAGAAAAGCTGTATTGAAATTTGTACAGTCTCACATGATCAGTGTCACTTATTTAGGCTACTTACATTTAATTTATATATAAAATATTTCTTCATTTTATGTCCTAACTTTTATTTATTAAATATTTATACATAGAAGAAAAAATTTACATGTATTTTATTTATATATAAAGAATTTCTTCATTTGTAATCTGTCTTTTATATAAAAATAGTTATACATTAAAGAAAATATTAACGTTTTTTATTTTTATTAAAATATTTTTCTTCATTTTGTCATAACCTTTCTTTCATATATAAAATATGTATAAATAAAAGAAAATGTTTAAATATTTTATTATATGTAAAATGTATCTAAATATTTATATATTTATTTATATATAAAATATTTATCTTTCATCACAGTCACAGCTTATATAAAATATTTATATTAGTGCTGTCAAACGATTAATCGCGATT